GCCTCCCACGACTAAGGGCGAGCATGTTTGGTGTGACGGGGATCCGAACCCGCGACCCTCGGATTGTGAGTCGAGCGCCCTAACCACCTGGCCATGCCGGGCCTTAAAATAAGACCCAAAACTCGAGCGCTTTCGAATAGTTGACTATTCTTCTTCAGGAGAACAAAGGGTGACCATTGAACAAAATAAACTTGATGTTTTTATTAACAAAACAAAAAAGTCTTTCGAAAATCACGCGATAAACAACAAGGAACAAATACATCATGATCTTTCACATAAAAAGTAATGGATTATCTAGCCAAAATCTTATCGTCTGTTCACAACGAAATAACAACTTTAAACAAGCTCCTACTGACGCTACCTGTGAATCGTTGACCAATAACTCAAATAATACAAACTCGCACGTTGAGTTGTCTCATAAAATAAGCTCTTCTCCTGACTCATCCAATTCAGCTACTTCCTTGTCTGAGAGACCCAAACCCCAAAACACTTCCAATCTCGTAAATCTGTCCTCTAAAACATTAGCTGAAACTCAACACAACCTTCTCAGTAAATGTCTCAACTTTTCTCCTACCCCTAAGAACATAGATAATTTCGAAGTTATTTCCGACCTTCAAGAATTTGCACGCAGATTAAGACTTCGGGAATTTTTTCCACAATAAAAACACGTCACCCTTTTAACATTTTCTTAATACTATTGTTTAAGTTATATTTTCAGTGTTTTAATTTATGTTCATACCATTAGTTAGCTTGAAGACTTTTAATGATATAAGTTGTGGTTCGATCCCTGCGGTGGGTACAACACAGATAACATATTGTGCTTTACAACAAACAAAGTTCCATTCATATTTTTGTAAATCGGTGTTATCTAGTGGTGAATGTGTAGCTAGTAATTAAGCTGTATAATATAATTCTCTTAAAGCAGTTGCCTATCATTACTCAAATTTATTTTTTAATTTATTGCATGTTATATAAATCTTCACTCGTACTTTTTAAACAACAACAAAAAATACATTACAACTTACATAGCTACCGCTTTTACAGTAAATTCAAACTTAGTCGTTCAAATAATCTCGAGTTTTCGTATTTGTGTATTGATATCGACCTGGTCTTTATCTTTCAACTGATTTTCTTTAGAACAGGAGTTACTAATTTTCTTCCAAATCAACATTTGTCGCTATAGAATGTTACTCACTGCTGGTTGAGAAACATTTATTGATGTAAAACTATCTGCGTCCCCCAGTGACACAGCGGCATGTCTGCGGACTTACAACGCTAGAATCCGAGTTTCGATACCCGTGGTGGGTAAAGCACAGATAGCCCATTGTGTAGCTTTGTGCTTAATTACAAACAAACAAAACTACCTGCCTTACCAGTCACTAGCAGTTACCACCAGTGAGTCATTTTACAGACTGATAGGCGCTATACAGTCGTTGGACTACGAAAACTTTCATATCATCATTAGCTCCATAAAATGATACTGATACTTTATTCACTTTCTGTAAAGAGAAAGAAACTTAAAACCTTACATTTAATAATATTAGCCGGTTCTTTTGCGATGTAATAAATTAGCTAAGATCATAAAAAACACCTTACGCTTAAATAAAATACTACATATAATCACCATTTGTCAATCTCTTGTCCACATGTGGTGTTTATTTTGCCATTTTTCCCCAAAACTGTTTGTTTTGTTAAATTTTGCGCAAAGTTATTCCAGGGCTATTTACACTAGCCGTCCCCAACTTGGAAGTGATACTAGAGGGAAGGTAATTAGACAACACCACCCACCGCCAACTCGTGGCCTGCACTAATCGAATAGTGGGATTTGACATTCACTCTTATAACGCACCCACGACACCAAAGTGTTAGCCGCGATTTTTTTTATTGTTTTGGTACCGAACCACGGAACCAGTCTGGCACGATAGCCGCTGGGCCGCGCTCGCCTGAAGTTCGTACTTCGATAAAAAAAAAAAGAAACACACAGAAAAACCTTTGCTTTCTTTAACTAAATATAACATCTGCAAATTACGCTGGGAGAAAACTGTAAGAAAGGTTTTCCTCTAACAAATAGTGTGTACACAGCATAAAGAATAAACTTGAAGAACAACATTTAAAGTTTCTATTTTAATAGAATAATCTTTCGCATAAAAACTCACAGGAACATTGTAAATGGTTTTTGAATTTAGCTTACCTAAATATATAACATTACGCCTTAACGAAGTTTTTATTTTTACAAGCCATTACACACATATATAATATTTTTCGTTTTATTCTCCACTTGCCATTATACGTGTATAATATTTTTTCAAAAGTAACTATTGCGACTTTTTTCATGTTTGAAGGGCGTTTTGGATGAAATTCCTTGTAATATATTTAAATAATCTGTTTGGCAGCTGTTTCCTAGTTCTTGGAAATGTAGACAGTCACGACTTTTAAATAATTTACCTTATCTGCCATCTGATAATCGCCGAATCCTGTCCACGGTCCTTTAGTTCCACCAGCTAAATAAAAACCTGTTCAAATACATCAAAATTTCATAGATTTAGTCTTTGCGTCGATTATCTGGGAGACGGTGGAAAGGAAGATCAATTTTCTGAAAAACTGGAAGTGTTCATTTTTCAGGTTGGAAATAAGCTTTTCCGTTTCGAAGTAAAATATAAAAAAGCTGAATAAAAATACGTGTGTGTGAAGAGAAAAATACGAATTCAAAATATTTTACCACCGTATATATTTATTTACTTATTCGTTTTCCAGTCATTGACCTGACGTTTTACCTCAACTTATTCAATTAAAAATTCCAATCTTGGAGAACGCCCTTTTTTTCTGTGATTTTCATTCTCTAAATCGGTAAGGATTGGTTCAGCTCTAGCAAAACATTTGGTGCATTCTAACTGAAGGATATCAAAATTGAGAAATACCTATGTAAGTATAGTAATTATAAATGGATGGCCGAGTCGTTTACAGGTACTATACTTTCCGTCCAGCGCAGCCTTAACCTTATTATGTTTTGATGCTTATGAATTTGAACATCTTTTCAGTTATGCAATTATATTTTAAAGAAGAAAATGTTAGGTATGTTGCAATAAGAAATGAAGAATAGGCCTAAGAAGACTGTGCAATTAAACTACTGAAAATGATGTTCTGTTCCTCACTTCTTGTATCTATCCTAATTCAGCTTTTATTTCGTGTTTGCTTACTTAATCCTAAATGCACCATACACGAGAGAAGCTAATGTTAAGAATTTTTCACAACTGCACAATTTTGATTTTGTGCCATATATTACCCAGTAACACAGCTTGATGCAAACTAAAGCTAGGCTATGTTAAAATGTGTGAAGATATAAATTTGTTAGTGATTGGTTCCGAAAAATTTGTCGAACAGTATTTTAATAGAAAGACTACTCACAGCCAAACGGTAAATTTTATAAGTTTTGTGAAATTACCATGTTAGTCCCAATCAAACAGAATTTTAACTAAGATAAAAATTGACACCTATAAACTGTGCATTGGGTAATTTAGATCTGTTCATCAACTCATTATAATTGCATGCTAATATGTGTCCACCTATGCTATAGATGCTGATTATTTTCCTATACAGAAGTTGAGTATGTTACATTAAAACGATTTAAGAGCATTACCATATTTTTATAATCTTTTTAACCACTTCCAGTCGTGCTCTATCTGATGACCACACACCTTTACAATAGCTCTGTTGAGGTTTCTATTTCAAAAATTTCACCATAATGCTGTCATGTTCAAAACACACCACCCCTTCCTGCTTACTTCCATAATTAATCTAGTATTTGAGGACAATGGTTTCCAAGCAACTGTTTCAATATTCTAAACACACAGATCCTGAGTCCAGCCACTTGACCAGTACATCTTTGTATGGAATAGCATGAATATGACATACTCAGTCATCTGAATACTTTATGTTTAGTCCTTACCAAAATTTATAATATTATAACTAAATTTCAGTCTTGTTTCTTACCCTACAAAGCTATGTAAATAATAAATGATTACCTCTTTCGATTCCATACAAAATTAAAAACCATTAGTTCAGTATATTGAACTTTAATATTAGTTTTTTGTAAGAAAAAAGTGTGTAATTATTTCTAAAATTTTAACAAGTTCTAGTGCTTATACTTTTAGAGTTACAAAATTAATCCAGCGTAAAGTATTTATGTATTCTTTAACTATTTTTAGGAAACTTACTACCTTTTGATTCTTGAAATGATGACAAGTAATTGATGAAATCTTAGACACAGAAAATTTACCATGTGAGCTACCATCCTCTGTATGTCATCAAATATGCATGTATTTTTGAATGACATTATGAATGTTATACAAGGTATGTAACATTTATCAGTATATAAGACCTAATAACTTGCAAAACTTGTGTCATTTAAAAAAAGTTTTAATGCATTTAATTAAAATATCTAAATGACCCTTTTATCTCCTTTTTCTAACCTCTTCCTATGCATTGATGTTTTAAGAGCTACAATATGATTTCTGCATATTATCAACCTAAGCCATCATATAAAACAGTAGTCAAATATTTTAGTCATACATCAGTCTTATTGCAAGTGCTACAGCATGAATGATGGAAGTATCTTGTAAAACGAAAATATTAACTCTAGAAAAATAAATTATTCATGCCATTAAATTATTCTTGTATGTTACAAAAACTCCAAAGACTGTTGCTGTACAGAATTTTAAGATGTTGCTAACTATTCAAAACTTTTAGAAACTAGTGATTAAAATATTTATAATTTTTTATTAAAACTTTTAATGTTCATGACTGAATTAGAAAAATAAACCACAACCACACTAAGCTATTGTCCAAATCTCTCTGTACATTTTTAATATTGGCAAACAGACACAAGCACACTACCAGCACCTTGTAAGGGAAACGCTGTGACTATTTAAATATAAACATTAAACACAATTATCGCTTAGACTAAATTTTTTAACAACCTTTTTTTTTCTATCTCTCTGTGCCACACAATTTTTCCAACATTGAAATCAATCAACATATTTAAAATCGGAGAAGCAGGGTATTCTAAAACATTTTATACATACATTAAAAAAAAGTTCTATAAAAAGACATCTGAAGCACGTTTTTATTAATTCAATAACATAAAAGAACTGCTATTCATTTTCAGAATGTAAACAGCAATCACATATACAAATGCAACAAATATTCTCTAATACTTAAAGCAATTTAATATAAGCACAGTTCTTAAATTAGAGATTTGTAAACTCAGCTATCAGTAATCATTAAGTGTAATTATAAAATGGGAGAAACAATACCAGTGTTTCATAATTTAATATAAGTAACTTTATCACCACTATGGAGTAACAGTAGGCACTTCTGTTGAGAGAAAGACACTGGAATTTAAGTGTTGAAAAGTTTAGCAAAGGCACTGACTACACAATAACATCTAAAGTTGTTCCTTTCACAAGGCACTTCGGGTTCACTATAAATTGATTCTGTAAATGCTGCATTCTTTCTCAAGAGTTGAAGTCTAATGAACAGAAAAACTAGCTACACAATGCCTTCCTCTCTAACTAGATGTTACTTTTAAGTTAAATTAGTACAAGTATAGTGTTAATAAAATAATCTAATTTTATATTTATATAGCCTCTGAGAAATAAACTACCTTTCAATTTCTATGATGTTTGGCTGTACAAACAAATGCTGAAAGATGGTTTCAGACCCACCTAACAGTAACTTTTATTAATTGTTAAAGGGTATCTATTAGTATATGAAAGATGCATTTTTAGGCTCTGAAAATACATATACAACACTAAAATTATACCTTCTTACAGCTAGTTTCATATTCACATCGTGTTAATTGCACAGTGTTAATACATTCAAAGCTTTGTTTTAATATACATCATGTTTTGCAACATATCATGTCGCAAAAATAGAGCAAAATGTAAACACATTTCTAATTTATGAAAAAATCTTGGCATAACTTGACTGCAACACACAGCCTAAATGCAGCTCCAGAATTTTCAAATATGAGAAAAGTTTGAAAAGAAAGTGTAACAAAATGATAATGTTACAAAAAAAAAATTAAATAATGTATGGAGAATATCAGAAGGAAATGTTGAACATGTTTTAAAAATGTCATAAGACAAAAAATTAAATAATAAATTTACAGTTTACACATCTTAAGCACCTTTTTGTTTTGCAGTTTTCAAAATTTTATCATATTGCCATTTTGTTTATAACCAGGAAGACAGTATTATGAGACTTGTGGACACAAAATTTGTAATAATTTTAAGTACAACTGTATCATTCAAGACCTCAAAAATGCATGCAAAGATCCAGCTTTGCTGAAAGCCACATTATCAATGCTGGAATTTTGACTTTAAAACCTGGCAGAAGTTCATGAAAAAATCACAGATTATCTAAAAAAGCCCAGCCACTTTCTTTAGTTCAGAATGTCTCCATGGTGGAAGGGTGTAGAATTCTTCTTTAGACATTCCAAGAATATCCTGCAAGAGAAAATATAATTTAAACTTTCCTGTTTAAATAACTTTAAAGAACACTTCACTAACATCATAAAAATATTTCCAAATGTTCTTCAAAAACTGGAGTTTGTAACACCCTCTACAAATTTATAATTTCTTGTCATCAAACATTGGAAAGCATATACAATAACAAATACATGATACAAAATATTTAACCATCAAAATTAAGTATATAATGAACAAAGAAAATTGTATCTACAACAGATTTGTTTTGCAATCTCTATAAAAGCCATTTTATGTTAATCCAGAAAATTTATAAAACTTGTTATTTGTGAAGCTTCTGAAAAATCACTCCAGTCCTATACAAAAACACATTCCAATCAATACACGAGCTAATAGTTAAAAAGTATTTTCTTATTTTAATGTAAGAATAGATTAAACATTTAAATAGAAAATTTATTAGCAACTAATTTCTAGTGAACTCCTAGTGCAACTGGTTCTTGTTTAATTTAAGAAAAATTAAACAAAGGTCTATCTGTGCATAGCTTTCTTTAATTTAGAACTGGTAGATTATAGGCAAGCCAGCTAGGAAACAGCACACCCACTGTAAACTCTTGGACTGTTCTTGACTGAGTGAATGATGGGAACATATTGGGCCATGAATTACGAATCCTTGGATTCACAGTTTGAGCACATTAACCACTAAACCACACACAATTCTAGTAGTACTGAATAGTTTAAAATGAGCACTTAGTGATAAAAAAAAAGGGTTGTAAAAACATCAAATAGTCCCTGAGTAAAACCATTTAGAACTTGAGAAAAAAAGTACTGTTATGATTAATATTTTTGTAATTAAGTTCTTTTTTACAATATATATATAAATGCAAACTCTGTATATTGACTGACAAGTGGAAACATTACTGATCTGAACATTTTAAATAACAAACCTCAAAATCCTTATCAGTCAAATATGATTCAATTCGTGAAGGGTCAACACCTTCTGGTAATGGACGCTTCTGGAGCTCAGACAGAGTATACCGTGTGCGGGTTAGCTTAGCCAAGACTTCTTGGACAAGCAGCATTTCACCTGGTTTCTTGCCATCCTTTCAGGTATGCAATGGATACAAATTGAATAAATAATGCCATACTAAGAAGTTGAAACCTATTTGTGCTGGTAAAGTTCTTTTATCTTTTCTTTTGAATAAATTATTTTAATAGCAGTGCTTATTTAACATACCCAATTTAGTCCACATTATTTAGGACACCATAAATCAACTTAGTTATTTTAAGAAGATGTATTCAAAATTATGTTACAGATCAATCAAGTTTTATTAGACTATGTTACCAAATATATTACCATTTGATACTAGTACATTTTACTATGACAAGAAATTAACAGATAAGAGAGACATATGATATTCCATGACATTTTTTTTTCTACTATCATATCATTACTAGGAAATTACCCATGAAACATGAAAAAGTCATAGGAAACAACATTCATACAAAAACGTTTCCACACCTTGTTTTCAGTAACTAATTATATGTTCTTGTCTGTCAATTTTCATGTAACTAAGTAGAGTCAATCTTTGAGTTACCTCAAACCCTCTTGATCCACCACTAGAGGAGGGGCTTCAATACTGACTATGTTTGTGGGGATCATGAGCAAATATGCAAAATTTCAAGTCATTTTGTTTCACGGGTTTCTAAATTTTAACACTATTTTCTAATTACAAATTATTCATCATGTAAATTCATAAATTTGTTACCTGACAAGGTATTTAAACTTTTGTAACTACTGTTTAGTAAGCAATGTACATTACGATATGTGTCAGTTTCACCTCAGATATTCCTTATTACATCACTATTTGCAACAGAATAAAAAAAAAAAAAATTGAACATGCTATAAATTTTAAATCATGGTGATGATGATATGTCAAATATACTTTTCTTATTAAGAAAAACTCTTAGTAGGCTCAAAGTAATAAGGGAACAAAATAGATTAAAATATCAAATATATTTGTGAGTTAAACTAATCATTTGTTCCTGAAGTATCATGTTTCAAGTTTTGCTTAAGATATCTATCTTAATGTTCACTGTAACATCATTTTGTCATACTGCAATTCAGTTTAGCAATGAGATCATTTGCCAATTTCTTGCACCAAAATCTTCTACCAAAGTTCAGTAATAGAATATTTTATTTCTATCATCAAAAACGTACCTTGACATTCAGTATCACAATATTTTATTATGTCTATAATATCAGTTACTTATTCACTACTAGATTTTAAGACCACTAATATTAGAAACTTACTTTGATGTTTATTAATGCTACATCATCATTCTGTTCCCATGTTAAGAACAAATTTGTAAAAAGTGTTGGCTCAAGTCCAGCTGAGACAATAAATGCTTTTGGAGGATTCTCTGGATTCTTCTCTGTTGATTTAAGAGAGAAAACACAGTGTTATGAAACATTTATTACAGTTAATGTATATCCAAATCTAGTGCAATTCATGTTATTTCTATATGAACTAATACACTTCATTAGAAACTACTTCTTGTCTGCAAAATACAATAACTTACAAAAAACAGCTAAACAAACAAGATGTCTGTTTTTATTTTATATAAAACTTAATGTTTAATTCTTTGAACTGTTTAACTGTGGCTTATGAAATTCGTTTTGATTTGTCATTGTTAAATATAATTTCACTGGGAATGGTACATCATTACCTGACATAATTCAAGAATTTAAAATAATATTAATTATATGAAATATGTATATATGCTTATCAGATTTTTGATAATAATAGTAAGTAAAAAATTACAATATAGAAAAAAGGAAGAAGAGCTGTATTAATGTTGACTTCAAACTGACAATTATAAAACTCACAGGTCTTTGAATAAACATTTTTATCAGCTGTACTGAGGTTTTGCTGGACCATTACTTTGGATAAGTTCTGGTGGATTATATTAGGTCTGTTATCATGTTACATTGGTATATTTTAATTTTATTCTATACAACAGTCAATGAGTGGTAAATTCATTATAAAAGCATTTATTGTTGGAAACATTTTTAAAGTGAAAACTTTTCTAATTTTAATAAAAGATTTTAGTGAATATACTATGCATAAGAGTGCTAATAATTTTTTTAACCCCCCAAAACAAGGTGTACTATCTTGTGTATAAGCTAACAATAGTGACTTCAGAGAATGATCTTCAGAGATGTAGAAGGAATGGAAGGATTAATCATAGATGGCATGAATGTAAATAATCTAAGATATACAAATAACACAGTGCTATTAGCTCAAAATCCAAAATAATGCAACAAAACAATTGTAGATAAAACTAATATAAAAAGTGAGGAATATGAATTGAAAATTAATGTTAAGAAAACAAAAACAATAGTTATCAGCAAGAAGAAACAAAAGGCCAAATCTAAAATAATAATAAACAGAGAGGAACTAGAACAAGTTAAAAGATTTACTTATCTTACACAATCAATTACAGAAGATGGCACATGTGTAGAAGAAATAAGAATAGCGAAATGCAAAAACTGCCTTTAACAATGCTAAACAAGTTCCAAAGTCAAGAAAAATAAAACTCCCACTAAAAAAATGAGAATCATCAAATGCTACATACGGTCAACAATGCTGCATGGTGCAGAGACTTGGACAATCAATAAAAAAAGTACACCAAAAAAGTTGGAAGTGTTTGAAATGTGAATATTCTGAAGACTTGGAAAAATATCATGAACAGACAGAAAATCAAACGAAGATTCTCAAAAAAATAAATATAAAAAGAGAACTCAAGAACACCATAAAACAAAGGAAAACAGTATACTATGGAAACAGAAAAAAGGCCCAACACGATACAGAAATTTACCAATGGATAGTAAGACTGACTATCACATTATAACTCCTTAATGGCTGGAAGGGTGAACATGTTTGGGGATGGGTTTCTATCCCACAACCCCCAGATTGCAAGTGAAGCACCTAATCACCAGGCTATGCCAGCCCTAAAGATAAGTGTGTGAGTAAAAAAAAATAGTACAAGTGAAACTTCTCACCTACAGTCAAAAAAGCTCATTTTTTTAGGAATTAGCTATTTCACTGTAACTTGCATGGCTAAAAAAAGACAAAATAGGAATTCACACATAAAGCATAACAAACAGATGATTTTGAAAATAAATCTCTATGAAAATGCATATAGAATACCAAGTAACTAACCATGGCAATAATGTAGTGCTGTCTCCATAGCACATCTCCTTTCAGTGTTCCACCTCAGTCCTGCTGAACCCGTGACAACATTTTCACTCTCTTCATCTCCTTCTGGCCACCAGCCTTGCCATAGGAACATTTCATGCTCATTGTCAAAAAGAAAGAGAGCTGAAAAGCCATAAAAGCATATATTTTTTTAAAACATTGTATCTTTTTCTCATCACCAACATTTTGTACTTTGATGAAGAAAGATAAATAAGATCCAATTTATTATTTGTTAAGAAAAAAACACAATAAGTCTGACAATAATCTAATTTTAACAGTGTTCAACCTTTTGGAATTAATCTAGATCCTGGAATCAGTGATCTCTGTTCACTGGTTTCAACTCTGTCAGAAAAATAATTTTTATTCTTTGCTTATTTATTTTCATGTAATGTAAATGCCGAATTTCCAAAACCTTACTATCTATTTAAGATAATTTTCCATACCTGTTTTTATAAATTGATTAGCACAACATATAATTTTCAATCAGTCTCCAGGTGTCACCTTTATTTTACTTAAACACTTAAGTAAAGTTTTAAATATACATATATTTATCCATTTCTAAAGTAAAATATCCCCAACACCATTTTCACATACACCCTCACCATCGGCTACACCGTACAGGAAATGAGATGCTTACAACAGTACATAGAGAAATAGACTAAACATTTCCTGGAAAAACAAATGGCCTTCATGACATCAATAAACTCCCTTTATATATATATATCTCATTCAATTATACCACCATTTCCAGTTTGCCCCTGAAGAAGAAAGGTCCACCTTTTGAAAGTGCTCAGGTTATAGGGATTTATGAATTTCTATCAAGACTTCTTGAACCTACGTGTTTTTCTAACATCATGAATAAGTTTTTACAAATGTTACTGGCCCTCTATTATGGGTTTTCAGTGAACTACCATCAAAAATTACAAATAGAATAATTATAATATATTTGAACTTCAGAACTTTTCCCAAACATTTCTAGATTTTTCTTAGTTTTCTGAGATTCGATAAACATAGAAACTTTTGATTTTTACAGGCCATGAAACACAAGTAGTGTACACTTTTTTTTTATAATTACATTATAAAAACACTTTAAAATAGCTCACCTGGCTGAGTTGCATTGTAAAGCTCGGATTGCAAGAAAGGATATGGACAAACACGCTTAGTACTATAGAATGTGCACTGAACTTCAGTAGACGTGAAAGTCCCTGAGACACTGGTGAGGTGAAACAGACGGGGTGTATGATTATAGGCGAGATGACCTGTAAGAAAGACAATAGGAATTTTTTCATCTTTTACGCCAGGGATTCAGTAATGGAAATATATAATAAAAATATACAATTCCGAAATAAATCGTAATTGATCAATTGTATAACAAGTTTCCAGAACTAGCTAACAACATTTATAATGTGACAAACTATGTCAACACATTTAAAAACTAATACATAAAATTATTATAGTCTAACTATGGTACAAACTCTCAATATAGGAATAAATGGAACAATTAAATCATGTCACCAACTAATATATATATATGTCGTTGGCCTTTAATCCCTCAAAGGAACATAGTACCAGAAAAACCATTCAGTGGTCATTATTTTTTATATAT